GCTTGTAAATGTGCCCGAAATGTAGACATACTTAGTGGGGCGGCTTCTTTTTTTCAACAGTCGAGTACAGGCATTCAGCAGCAACATTATTAACAGCGTCATTTTTCTCATTTAGTTTTGTCCTCAGGGGACACCAAACAGCTCCCAGAGGAGAGGGGAAAAGTCCAGGGTTATTTATTTGTTTCAGTGAAAGTCAAAGAGCTGGCAATGGGGGTGGGGGAGGTGGGGTGGGTGGGGAAACTCACCGGTTCTGACTTTTCTAGTAGAGAAAAATTGCTACCCTAATTTGACAATAGTAGTTTAAGGGTTGAGAGAACTGGGCATGATTTTGCAATTCCCATCAAGTGCAGGCAAATTCAGTACTTGTTGGTTGCTTATATGTGTTTTCAAATGGATTTTTGGTATTCCTGCTTGTGGATATAACCTTGTATTTTCCAGGCTACACATGTATGATTTTTGTGGTTCATTTTGCAAGAAGGAAAGGTCTAAGATGGCTTAGTGGATACTCAATATTTTGCAGTCAGGCTCCTGGGGTCAGGAGGTCATCTGTCTCTTTTGTATTTAGTTTTAAAATATTGATATTGGCGATGCAGCCAGGGCTATGGAGTTGCTGAGGGTCCCCTCAAATCACATGCAAGAACTAGAAAAAAAGCCATCGGGTGTATTGAAAATGACAGCTTTGTTAAGCTCTAAGAAACCTGTCTCTAAACTGCCCAGGATTTGCAACCTGTTACCAAGTTTCTTTAGATGGGAGAAAGGTTAAAAGAAAAATCAGCATTAGAAGAGAGCTGAGAGGTCAAACTCCTCTCTGGAGGTCAGTGAAAGGAGCCAATTGGGTAACATTGCTTAATATTTCAAATATCTAACTGGGTTTTGAAAAATCCAGTCATGGAAGCACTGGCATTTCTTCTTGAAATTCATAAAGTATCTGTCAGAAAAGAAACTTTTTCCCTTTAAGGTGGCAGGATAATAAGCTGATCCAGGGAGATCTTTAGGAATTCTGAAATATCACGTTTCCCTGCTGCAGAAACCCTTCACTTTTCTCTAGTTATTTTTGGGGTGAATGAAACTGGCCCAGGTGGGAGTGAGAGGAGAAAGAGAGTTTTGGACAGGGAAGTACCCAAGTCTAAGAAGTGTTTGACCCATTCACAAGTTTTCCAGAGATACTCTAAAACCACTCTTAAAACCATGGCAGACATGGAGGTGGGGGTGATGAATGAAATATATGTACTTGCTCATGTCTTCTCTACTTTTCTACCTGGGATTTTTAAAGCATGTCATTTCTCAAAGCAGAGAGAGTCCACAAGTTGTGCTGAGAGAAGCCAGGTGTCTCCCCAGTCCAAACCCACAGGTCCCTCCACGAACAGCTCCACAGACTGCACCCTGAGAAGGTTTGCAGTTACCTTGGCATTGACTGGATAAGAAGCAGTGTTTTGTGTGGTGTCAGCCCTCCCAACCAGGGCTTCAGGCCTGAGAGGACAGTGAGAATCATGTAAACTGAGGCACCATAAGCCCTTCCAGAATTTCTGTTGCTCACTCTTCCCTCACTTTTGGCTTACTCTACCTCCTCATTATTCCTTTCTCATTTTCCCTTTTCTTGGAATCAAATCAAAATCCCAAACTACCAAGCATCCTCCAAGCTCATCGCACTGAGCCCAGTCATACCTGTCCTGCACACATGGAACACCTGAAAGAGACTTGAACCCCTAAGTGATAGGCCTGGGAGGACCCAGACAGCTTCACTGTGCTGGGGTCTTACCTGGATCTGTTGTTGCTTCTTCACCCCTGCTGCTGCTGCCGCTTTTGTGGGCTCTTCTGTGTAATAGTTGTCAATTTTTCATTTTTAAGCTTGTGAAAACTTTTGGATGCAGCCTAGTTTTAGAGCAAAAGGAAATGGTTTCTGTTGGAAAGGGAAAGGAATAAGGAGGAGGGGCAAGGATGTCTGGAGACACTTGCCCAGGGCTTAGCACTGGGCCTCTTTGCCAGGGGACAGCGGCTGGTTCTGGGATCTCTGGCTGAAAGGCGAGCTCTCTGGGTGCCAGGATTTCACTGGGGGTGATGTGGTGAGGAGGAGGAGAGGAAGGGAGGGCGGGAGAAAAAAGAGAGATGGGCGCTAGGTTTTTAAAGGGACCCCTAAATATAATGGCTTCTGTGAGAGTCCAGGCATTCAAAGAGGTGTGTTCAAGGACATGAGTGCATTCGTGCCAAGGGGAATGTCTTTTATGGTAAATTAACTCCAGTTAAATTGAATATTTGTTCAAAGGGAAACTCCAGTAGTTAAAGCTGGTATTATCAGTCGCGCTTCCCCGCCCCCTCCCCGCAGACTCCAGTGTGAGGGTGAGAAAAAGGATGCAGCCTAAAGTGCAGTACAAAGTAAGGCGCTGGGATTTAAAAAAAAAAAAAAAAAAAAAGCCTAAGATGAGATTGCCTAAATTTTTTGGAGAGAGAAATGACTATTTATTTGGCTTCACCCCGACTGTCACTTCATTTCTTTCATCTAGAAAGACTGTCAAATTTATCCTGGCTTTTCACAAAATAAGAAATGACCCACACAAAGGAAATGAACGTCCGCAGAACGCAGACAGGAGGGTTTGCCAGGGGAGGGGGCGGGGCAGGGAGGCGACTCCCAGTGGGGTGTGCCCTAAAGGGGTACCTCCGGGAGGTGGGGGGTGGTTCTTGAAATTTCCCCCCGCTTTACCTGTCTTCCCAGATCCTCCGCAGCCCCCCCAGCCCCTCGGTCCGGCCTCCCCAACTCCCCACCCCCAGCGCCTTTCTTCCTTTGGGCCCTGGGTTTACGGGGGCTGCAGCTGGTGGACTTGGCAAGCTCGCCTCATTAAGAGCGCTCTTTGAAAACGGACTGTGTTTGAGCATTTCCCTAATGAGGACAGGACGGGGTTAAAAAGTGACCATTTCATGGTTGACTTGAACCTGCCTACTTTTCTTGATGTGTCGTTGTGAAATGCTTGATGTGGATAACTCCCACTTGGTGAAGGAAAAAGTCACTGGTTCCTTCGGGTGCGCTGGGGGGAGTGAGGGGGAGTCGGTGGGCATTCGCCTGAGAGGCCGAGAGGAGAAAGTTGGGGTGGGAGGGGAGATCGAGAGGGAGGAAGAAGAGAGGAAAAGGCGAAAGGGAGTCGGAGAACTCCCCGAAATACCCCACCGTTTGGAAGCGGGGGAGAGGCGCCCTGGGGATGGGGCAGTGTGCGCCCCAGGCGGCCGCAGCCCCGCGACCTCCCTCGCCGGCACCGGCTGGGCAGACGCGGAGCCCCTGCACTCACTTTTTTTTTTCCTCCATTGTCTGGACAGCCTTTGCTTCTAAGTCTCTTCCCTTCCCACCTCTCGTCGAAAGCCGGAATTTGGGGGGGGGGGTGTGCGTGTGTGCAGAACGGGTGCGAAGCACCTCGCCGCCCTGCAGACACCCGAAATCAAGTTCATTCACTCGGGGCTGCGGCTCGCGGCCTGCACGGGGGCGGGGCCCCCCTGGCGGGCGCGGGTGCCGGGGCCCCGGGCGGGCCGCCTCTGGAGGGCTGCAGCGGCACACGCACCCCGCGCGCGCGCGCCCGCCCGCCCCGCAGCCCCGGGCGCGCCGCGGCCCCGCCCTTCCTGCACCCCGGCGGGGAGGGCGCCGCTTTCCGCCGGCGCCCCGGGCCCCGGGGAGTGGGGATTGGTTGCGAGCCAGCGGGGCCGCAGAACGGGGAGAGCGAGCGGGACGCGGGAGGGGGAGACCGGGAGGCGACGGCTGCGGCTCGGCCCGGTCCTCCCGCTCCGAGCGAGGCCACGTGCGCGCGGCACCCCAGGGAGGGCGGCCGACCGCGGCGCGCCGCGAAAGCCGGGCGGCCCCGGGGCGCAGACCCATGCAGGGGGACCCCGGAGGACCCCGCCCCCCATCCGCGCCGGCGCGCCCCAACTACTTGAGCCCAAGTTTACTCAGGTCCCCCGCCTCCTCGGCCCCCCCCCCCGCGCCTCCCTCCGGCCGGCGGGCTGGGCGGACCGCGCCCGCCCGGGGTGCGAGAGTCGGCGCCCCAGCCTGGGCCCCGGGGCGGCCTGGGTGTGAGGGAATTTTCCATTCGTTCCTTTCTCGGGCCCAGACTGGCACAGTGCTGCTCCCACTCGGATGTTCCCGCGGCTTAAAGAGTCCGCAGCGAGCCCCGAAATATCTGCACCAGGGAGGGTTTGCCGGGGGGTGCGCGCGCGTCTGTGCGGTGGTGTGGAGAGGGTGCGGGACGTGTCCAAGGGCGGAAAGATTTATTTGGAAAAAAAAAAAAAAAGTCATGCTTCTATCGCACCGGTATGAGACCTTTAACAAATGAGAGAGAAAGATAAAAAGGGGGGGCGAGGCGGGGGGAGGGCGAGAGAAGGGGAGCGGGGAGCGAGAGAGAGAGAGAGAGAGAGAGAGAGGGAGAGAGAGAGAAGCAAGGAGGAGGGGAAGGTGGGGGGGCGGGGGGTGTGGAGAGGCTGGTGCAAAAGGAATGCGCGTTTGCAGGAGGAGGAGTAAAGCGATGATTGTGTAATTAAATAATAAAACAATCCTTAAGTCTGATTTGGAGAGAGCGCGAGCGGGGTCCAGAGGGTGGAACCGGTGAATTTTTCAACTTCCAAGTTTTGCAACGAAAGAAAGCGAGAGAGGGAGGGGAAAAAAGAGCCCAGAGCAGAAAAGAGAGGAGTTTGGAGCCGAGCGGGAGAGCGGGATTTTACGTTTGGGATTTTTCAGGAGCTCGTCCCGATCCCCCCCGGGTTCTGGGCAGCGGCGGCAGCAGCAGCAGCCTCCTCGCTCGGCCGGGTCAGACGCGGGGCGAGGCGGTGGGCGGGCGGGCGTGGAGGAGCCCGCGCGGCGGCGGCTGCAGCCGGGGACCGCGCGCCGCGCGCCTCTTCCGCCCGGGGGACCTGCGCTCGCGCCCCCTCCCTCACCCCGGCCTCTCCCCGCTCCCCCACCCCACCCCACCCCACCCCACCCCGCCCCCACCACCCGGCCCTCTCCCGCGCGCTCCCCGCCACCCGCGCGCACTCGCTCGCGCTCCCCCTCGCGCACACACATGGTCGGCTCGCGGCAAAGTTTCGCCGGCGATCGCCACTCCGGGAGCCTGCCGCAGGGCTCGGGGCTGTAACCTTGAACTTTCCCAGCGCGGTGACACATTCTCCTCGCTCTCCCGCCCGCCCGGTCTCCTGCGCCCCACTCCCCGCCTTTTTTAAAAAAGCATTTCACCACCTACCACCACCACCCCGATCCGACCCACCCCGAACCTTCGCGCACCCCCCGGCCCCCACCACCACCACCAACTGCAAAACAGAAAACAAATCCCCAAAACCCAGGCGAAAAGCAGGCAACACCAGCGGCGGCAGCGGCCTCGGCGAGCACGGCCAGCGCGCTCGGACTGCAAGAGGGTTAAAAGTGTAGATTGGATTTCACCCCGGGAAATCTAGCACGCCGAGTGAACTTGAATCTTTGGCTATTTAAGGAGGACTGGGTTTGTTGTGAAGTTGCGGTGAGCCAGCGCAGAGCCCCGTCCTGATTGATCGCATCGCGGGGCTCAGATGACTGTAAAATGAATAGATGAAATTCTTGCTTCTCGAAGATTTTCTTGGGCATCTCCGGGAAAGTGCGTTTTAAGGCGAAGTCATGATGTATTCTCCCATCTGTCTTACTCAGGTACATGTCTCGCTCGCTCTCTCGAGCTTTCTCTCTCTACCCCCAAATGCCTTTGTTTTGTTTTGTGGCTCCTGTCTGCGGACAATTAACGGCTTTGGTTCGCCACCGCACCCTCCAGTCCCACGCACAAGTGGCCCGGAGTTGCGGCGGGGCTCGCGGGGCGGCGAGAGGGAGCCGGCGCGCGGCCCCTCGCCCACGGCCACGGCGCGCGCCCAGCCCCGCGCCCTGGACATGGGGAGCGGGCGCCCGCGCGCTGCCAGGGCGGCTGTGCCGGGCGAGGCCGCCGGGGGTGGGCAGGGCCCGGGCCCGCGAGCTTCAGCCCCAGGCGAGGCCCTTCGAGCGCCTGCTGCGGCTCGGCGCCCCTGCCCGCAGTGCCCGCCGCCCCTCTCGGTGGCGCGAGCGCCCGGGGACGACTCTGGCTTTAGAGCAGGTTTAGCCGGGGGACTGAGCCCTGATAAACAACCAGCGGACTTGGATAAGGGGACTCCAGCCCGGGTCATGGTGGGCGCCTCTAAACTCCGCTGCAGGCGGTGGGCGGGCGACCAGCGAGAAAGAGTCGGAGATTGTGGTCCGGGGACCCATTCCTTTGCTTACTTTGGGGATCTGAAAGTCTGGTCCCAGTGATCCGCACTTTGAGGCTTCCAGGGACCACACCACAAAGGCGGTCTTTACGTTGACACGAGTTAGTGGGTCGTGGAGAACGTGAAGGACTTTTAGAACATGTACATTTTGTGGAGGGAGACCTGTTCGTTGGACGATATTTGGGCGTAGCTGGTAAGGCAGAAAGTAATGCTGGAGAAGTACGGTCATTTCTAAAATTTCTAAAAATTTCACTTTGAAGATAGTCCTGAGTCTTTAGGGATAATGCGAGGAAATAAAGTACTGGCTCCATACTTTTTTTTTTTTTTTTTTAAGAACACTGTTTAGAGCTTTTTCAACCAGACTATCAAATGTGAAAGTGGCCAGACCGAGCAGACTTACCTGGGGGTAGTTTTCACAGCCGCCCGGCTAACTAAGCAATAGACGAACTAACCAAAAGTCTTAGCCCAGAGTTATTTGAAGCAGAATTTTAAATCTCTAAAGGTGTGGGCAGTTGATTTCAGCTTTTAGGAGGATGTGTCACGATTAGTAATTGATGGCCATTTTCTTTGACGTTGGCATAATATCCAAGCAATTAAAGAAGTGTCACCTAGTTTTAGGTGTGTTATAATTTTTTAAAATTTAATATCACCACGATGCATTTTTATAATGGACAAATGATTAAGATTTCAATTGTATGACAATTACAAGTCATTGAGATTCAAAAGGACTAAGGCATTCATAAATTGTGAATGAAGATGAAAACAATGATAAGGCTTATTCAGTGATTGGATACAGTCCTGTAGCTTTTTGGCTGACACATTTTTTATTGTTTATATTTTGTTTGGCGTCTGAGTATGATTAACTTAGATATGGCTATTTTCAGCAAGTAAAATGTGCACTTTATTTAACAAAACTGGGAAAATAAGTTGCGGAGCTATTTGTATTTTTAAAACTGTGAATAATGGCCTGTAAATATGATGATGAAACTGTTTCAGGTATAACTAACGAATTGCCTTTAGTTGTGAAAGTTATCCTTAGTGTTATCCCCCAGCAAGATTTTTTTCCCTATTTCTGATCAAACTCATCCATCCACTTGCTATTATTTATACTCTGGGATCATTATTGAAACATAGTTCAAATAAAATATAATGAGGTGAGCTTTTCGCTTTCAAAGTACTGTATCACTATTCTCACCTGTAAAGGATTGCTGTTCTATACTAATTTATATTGGCCTTTCAGAAACCTTGCTAGTGATTGCAGTGCATTTTTAGTTTCCTCTAAATAGGTATTGAAAAGTCACTAGTTTTATCTTAAATCGTGTAAGTTAAATACTGCAACGTTGTGACATATGGAATATTTGGAGCCTATACAGCATAATCATTCAGCTCTCTCATTAGTGTTCAAGGACCCTTACTTACCAACATTAATTCATAATGACTAATAATATTCTCTACTATTTTACTAATGTAGATCTAGGTTGACATATTAAAACTGATGTTAGGATTAAAGGCCTATAATACTAGAGAAGGAACTTTGCCTTAGAATGCTGACTTAACTGATATGTATGGGACTTGAAAGGTAATGTAAGGTGTGCAAGAGTAAGGGCACAGTGATGGTGTTATCTTATTTTTAATCAGACCCAATAGTTTGCCTTTGTATCTATTACCAATGCCTAATAGCTATAGCAAAAACATTTCTTAGGCTATATAAATACAAAACAGAGTAACATTCTTAACTGGTTGAAAACTTTATAAATACAAAGTGTCTCAGTTGTTGCAATAGGTATCTAGGTTTTAGAAAGAATCTTAATTCAAAAGGAGCTCAAGTTGAAGCTGCTATTTAGCAAAATATTAGGCAAAAGGATTAGTACATCAGTATAAATCAGTATTTATGCATCAACATAAATAAAAAAGAAAATTAAGAATCATATATGATGTCAATTTGCTTTTTAAGAAATAATGTAAACCCTTAATATAACTTTCACTTGGTATGATTGCATTGAACTTTTTCTTTCATTGTCTTCAAGTTCTTTAGGTACATTTTTAATGGTTTATTGTTATATAGCGGTGCTCTAAAAGCACCTACTCTTTACTCTCCCATCTGTGTATTAGTCTAATTTTCCATCCCTTTCAGGTGAACCATTGTTTCTGTGAAGAAAAATAAATATTTCTAGTGGAATTAGGACTGTTTACTTTTATATTTGAAATTTGTAACTTATTTTATCAATTTAGTTCAACTAAAGGAAGTTCTAAAGAAATAAGATTACTGCATGTCAGTGTGTTTTAATCAAAATTCTGAAAGGGCAGGGTGGCAAATTACCTAAGTATAGAGCCATTAGATCTTAGATCACTAACATGCCTTGCTTCCAAAATTTTTTTCATGATTGTTTAAAGTGTTATTTTAATGATCTATATACTAGGACATTTGAATATCTTAACCACTCTTTTTTGGATGAAGACAGTTATGTTGCTCCATAGTCATAGCACCCAAAATCATTAAAATATATTGTAACTCTGCCTTAGAAAAAAAATTGCACTAGGAAGGTAACATTTTAGGCATGTTGATACAGAAATGTATGATTTTAGCAAGCCTCCACTTATTATCATTTTTTTGAGGATGTTTCCTTGTCAAGTAAGTATTTCACTCCAAAGCAATCTACATAATAGTAAAACCACTAAAGATATGTATAAGGCAACTTTATGGACTAAGAAAGTTTGCTACTTCTGTTTATCAATAAGGAAAAAAAGAAGTAGGTTTTAAAACATTATGTGGCAGCTCTGGCACAACTCAAGGCAACCTTAAAATTGTTTCTGTGTGCATTTGCTAAGAAATTCCAAATTCAACTCTCAGATTTGCATTTTTGACTTTAAAATAATTTATTAAAATTTTGAAATTTCCTACATGATAGATGATTTGAAACACAAATTGAATCAAAAGTATGTTTGATGTCTTTATAAGAAAATGAAATGTCACTGAACATAGTACTTAAGGATATAAGTACTTAAGTTACTGCGTTGCTTGATATTTATTAAAATAACGTTGCATTTTCAAAAAGCGTGGCAAGGGTATAATGAGTCAGAAAAAGCTCCCCCTTATATGTACTCTTTACATTCCCAAGTTTTTAGTTTACGACGGTATATATGTGTGTTTTTTGATCATGTCAATAAATCATAGCAAAAGTCAGATTATAAGAACTGAGTCCCCAAAGCGCGTTTAAGTCCATATTTCCTTGAGCAGGTTTCCTTCTGCAAGTATTTTAAAGGGGAATAAACAAAGTTTTTGTAGTTACAGAGAAAGCTAAAAGCATGGCATCAGAAAGTGTATGGAGATAGGAGGTCTTATCATGGGCTGTGGTTGCTGTGAGCAGGGCTGCCTTCCCACACAAAGAACAGATTGTGGTTTAACTCTTTCCATGGCCTAGTTTAATGTGCTCGAATAGTAACCGAATTGTTCAAATCTCTGCTGGAAACTACTGATCGGTTTAATGATTTCCTCTATGGCACTTGGTTATGCCTCATACTGTGATGTAATCATCTGTATTCTGTATTGTTATAAAATTTTGATTTACACTTATTCAGCTGTGGGAACATTTTTCGGCAATATGTTAAAACACTTGATAGCTGCATTATTGATTGGCTAGGACATACACCTCTTCCATGTCTGAATTGCAAACTGCTAATGTGCCGCGCTCCGTCTTTAGTGTTGAAACTTTGAATTTCATATTAAAAATTGATTCATAATTACATGGGATTTTTTGGGATACCTTCTTTGTTTAGTTTCCCTTAGTTGTACTTTCATCATCGATAGATACTTCATGGACTTCATCAGCCTGCTGATGAAATAGAATTTATTCCACAGTATTCAGGGTGACTAACACTAGTATGTAAATCCTAACTTGGGATATGATCAGTTAGAAAAAAGTTATTTTTGTGATCAGGGTAACAATATAGTCAGTGTGACCAGAAAAGTGACTGTGGTGGAAGGTCTCATTTGCTTCAGATCCTGGCTTATGGCACACACCCAGGGTGCATGCACAGGATGTGAAGCTCTTTCTCTGACCGGCAATAGGCCTGGTCTTAAGAGACAGGAGACAGGTTTTACCTATGGCAAGAAGTAATGAGACAGTGACTGCTTTGGGAAGTAACTTGAAATATCTGTAGGTAAAGATTATCTTCCCCTATTTGCTGCCTCCCTCCCTTAAAATAGGCTCCTATGAAAGAGGCAGGAAAAAGGCAGACGCCTAAACACTCGAGTAAAAGACTGGATTCTATACAATTGTCCACGTGTAATTCACAAGCACATGCATATGTACACCCACACTCCTGTCTGAGAATGCATATACATAGCAGATGAATTGTATTGATTCCACAGAAGCAGTAAGTGACCAGCGGTGCACTCTTGGTGTCACCCTGCCACCGCATGCAGAGACACAAAGAATGTAAAGTTGGTGCCAAGTTGCCATTTTTCATTGTTCACCTCAGATTGATTTTTAAGGGGTTTAGAATAATTGCCATACTCTTGTGATCGGTTAACAAATTAACTGACTCTGTGGGGCTTCAGTTTCTATAGGAAAGCTGCTGGAAGAACATTAATCCGATTTTTGTTTTCAACTTTAAAAACTTTAATTTAAAAATGCGAGGAGTGTGTATATCTGTGAGAGAGTGTGGGAGTGTGAGCACGAGTGTGAGAGAGAGTGTGTGTGTGTGTGTGTGTGTGTGTGGGGGCTAGTGGTGGTGGTAAGGAAGAGAATCCACTGCTCAAAGTATGGAAACCTTCTGTTCAGGACACTGATAGGACCGGCTGTGTCCTTTGCCCACTTTCCCTCGCTGTATACCGGTTTCTCTAGTTACCACTCTTGGAATGGTGCTGTTTCAGTGTTGGAATGTTGGACGTTTGATAAGAAAATGGATCAAGTTTAATGGCGCATGCTCTTTGTGCCACCAGCAGCCTCTTGCTGAGAGCATGCTCCAAAAGCGGGAACTGTGTGGCATTACACTGAGCATCTATACGCTTTGTGTTTCTGTGCCACAGAGAAGAGAAATGAACTGTGGCATCGCTCCTGCCTTCTGAACAGCTCTGCTCCGATTAAAAAAAATTCTCACTGTGTTCTTTGTAAAATGGTACTGCTTAGTGTTAGTTGGTCAATCAAATATTTAAATATTAAATTAGGTACCAAGTACCTTGGCTGTTTAGGTTTTAAAGAATGTGGATGCATGGTGGGACTGAGGGGGATGGGGCCAGAGTGGAAATACAAATATAAACCTTATTTTCTTTTTAGGAGGGAGAATAAACCTGTGAATTTTGATGGAAAGGGGGCAGCCTGGAATACTTAATTTTCCTCTGATCCTGCTCTATTGATAATTTTGAATAAGAAAAAGAGCGTAATTTTTTTCTGCCTAACTTTTTGTACTGATGTGGAATGGATTGTGGTCTCATATTTTGAGCTTTTCAAACTAAACAGAGTATGTGTGTCGTCTTTCTCCCCGTGTTTTCCACAGGATGAATTTCACCCATTCATCGAGGCACTACTTCCACATGTCCGTGCAATCGCCTATACTTGGTTCAACCTGCAGGCTCGGAAACGCAAGTACTTTAAAAAGCATGAGAAGCGAATGTCAAAGGATGAAGAAAGAGCAGTCAAAGATGAGCTTCTCAGCGAAAAGCCTGAAATCAAACAGAAGTGGGCATCCAGGCTCCTGGCCAAACTGCGCAAAGATATCCGCCAGGAGTACCGAGAGGACTTTGTGCTCACCGTAACTGGCAAGAAGCATCCGTGCTGTGTCTTATCCAATCCAGACCAGAAGGGTAAGATTAGGAGAATCGACTGCCTGCGACAGGCAGACAAAGTCTGGCGTCTGGATCTAGTCATGGTGATCCTGTTCAAAGGCATCCCCTTGGAAAGTACCGATGGAGAGCGGCTCATGAAATCCCCACATTGCACAAACCCAGCACTTTGTGTCCAGCCACATCATATCACAGTATCAGTTAAGGAGCTTGATTTGTTTTTGGCATACTACGTGCAGGAGCAAGGTAGGAGCAGATTGTTCTTTCTTCTCGCACGGCATACACTGCCCACGTATATACGGAATTTCTGGCTCGGGTTAGATGGCTCAAGGCCCCTAGGTCTCTTTTCCCCACTCTGGGTAGAGTGGCGTGCCCGCTTCCACTCACAGGTCCACTGCCATGTGCAAGCCATGGAAATAGACATGAACCTTTCAGACCTGGCTAGGTGTGAATATTTAAAGACCACAAAGAGATGCGTTTTCACATGTCTTTGAAATTATGTATGATTTCAGAGACACAGAATAATCTAAAAATAGAGTTTATTACACTTCACTTTTTGTCTTAGGTTACATTCCTTGCATCTACTTATCTTTTCCCAATTTGAAAATGTGACTTTATTTATGAACAGTCAAAATACTCTTTAATACTCTTTGTGTTAGCCTTAATTAGCGAGGCAGATGAACTTTGTTCGCAAATCTAGTGCTGTTGCACTGAGATAGAATTAATGTTTTCCAGTACAAAATCCTTGAGATAGCCACAGTCAGAAAGTATATGTTAGGTAGCCCTAGATTTATTTAATTTAAATATTTCTATCAACACCTACTTTTGATTATGTAATATTCACTGTAGATTGAATGGATTATAGTTCTTGTTTAAATAGTTTATGTTATCATGTTTTCCCAGAGTGATTTGGGAACACACATAAATATTGTTAGTTTACTTGAATGTAAATTCCATAAAACTTACTGAGGAGAAAAAGTCGCAGCTCTTCTTACAGAACATTACAGAACAAAAACAGAAAGTGGACTGGTTACACTGGTTTAAAATAAATCTCATAAAGAATGCAGTAACCGCATACCATACCTATTTAAAAAAAAAATACTTGATAAAGAGAATGATGTAAATGCTGCCTGAATAATTCAAAAAAGAAAAAAGGTTGTATGTTTTCTGACTATTTTTTGAGTTCATGAAATATGCTTTCTTGTTGTTTTCAGTTTTCTTAATATACATTTACTTGAGTAGGTGAAAATTTCTTTTCTTCAAATGAATGTGTCAGAATATTGATGTCCTTATAGTCACAACAGTCCATAGTAAAACATCATTTTAAAAAAAAGAGCATACCAAAAGTGGACTGAAGTTTGATCTGCCGCAGATGGTGGGTCATTTCCTAACTTGGCCTGGTGGTAGTGGAAATGGCCTGCAGATAGCCAGGTGGCAGACAGTTATCTGATGTTTGTTATATAAATGTGGGATTTAATAAATTGCTATGAACTTTATGATCGCTCGGAAATTATCAGAAAACTAGATACTTATGGCCATTTTGTCTTCTATTTCCTTCATACAGTTTTAGAGCTACGCTTAAATGTCACTTTAAAAGTTTTAATTTGATTTTAAATAATGGTGCTGGCCATCATATACATGGAAAAAGTATTTTTTTTAATGAAAAACTGCATTTACTATTTTCATGCATTTAAAAAATTAACATCCAAATAGTAATGGTTTGAAGAAAAATATAATTTCACCCTGTAGGTCCTAAAATAAAAGCTCATTAACACATGACACTTAATTCCATTGACAGCTGTCTGGGAAGCAACATTTTAAGGTGGGCTGTGTATTTTTTGTTGGAGTGATGGTAAATGTGCTGCAACTGTGTTGTAGAAGTCAAGGCTGCAAGTAAAGTTTTAAAAGTGGGTCATGTGCAGACCCACTTTTCAGTGCAGAGAGGGAAGATTTGCAATCACCTCACTGTTGCTCCCATTTTAACTTGCTTGGAGGCTAGTCCTTGAGGTGTGCCTGCAGGTACATTCACTCCTGGGGCAGGCAGCCAACTCCCTTGGTTGATGAACTGACAATAAAAACTTATCCTTTGGATTTGTGAAGATAGATTGAAGGAAGAAAACTGCCTAACTGCCTTCTGCATTGCACCATCGGTCATGATAATCATAAAGTTTTGTGCAACTCTCGGAGACCATGTGTTCAGATCAAACATTGATTTTGTTGTTGCTTCAATGGTCTGCATTGTAAGAACTTTTCATTATTTTACCCTGCGCGTCTCATTTGTATCCTCTGCTACCTGCCAGTACATCATCTCTTCTTAACATCTGTTGGTTCTTTTTTGAAAAAGTCACATCAGGATGCTTTTGTGTTTCTCCTTTTTCAAAACCTATCTTTTGGGGGGTTGGGGGTAGGGGGGTGTAGGTTAATTATGTCGTTCCGTGGTGCAGTTGATTAAAGAAGGCATTTAACAGATAAGTCTGTAGTCAATCAGAAGGCTGCGTATCGCCCATTACCACTTTTAATTTCTCCTCTAAGTACATGAAAACCCACTTAAGTGTGTTTTATAAATTAGGTGAAGAAGTATCAAGAAAAACATGAAAGAAAAATTAGAAAAGAAAAATGTGATGTTTGCAACAGAATGAGCAACAAAATTACCTTTCCCCCCCTTTTTCTCTCGCCCCACTTCTAAAGGACTGGGAGGAAAACATGAGAAAGAACAGAGAGAATGCCAAAGATGGTTGCCACTGGCACCAGGATTGGCATCAGACCCTCTTTGTTTAGCTCAGGATGCCTGTGATTTGTTAGTTGGCATCCGCATTGCAGTGTGGAGTGATGTTACAATATATTGACAATTTCCAGATCTAGAAATGTCAATAGTCCTCTTAGTTATTTATACAAGATCACAAATGCATCTCTTCTGGAGGATATACAGACCAACATGTAATAAAGTTCCATTGTTGACCAACTTCCTCTGCTTTCCTTTTTTCCCTCTTTCTTTTTTGGTTCAACCCACACTTTTTTTTTTCTTTATGCCCAGCAGCCTCATCTTTTTTGAAATGTGGGAAGAGTTACTAGGTCTTAGACACAAGCTATAGTGCTACATCTGCATCTGATATGGTTTTGGGAAAAAATGTATGCATTTTGAAATCATTTTTGATATCCAGATCATTAGACTTTTGCATCACATGGCCGCAAGGCAGTCTTCTCTTTAAAGCTAAATCTCTTTGTTATTCAGCTTCTTCTATGCATATAGCCTGGTTGACCGCAATTCAGCCCATTTTTCTATTCCTCTACTTTAGTAAAGGGTCATGTTCGATATAATCATTGATAAAATTATATAGCCCCCATTTTACCTAAAACATACACATTATTTGGGAGCAACTGTGTTTAAATCCATAAAATCATTTGACGTTATTGATTCAGAGGGCTGCGCTTCGGCTGTTTCGTTGCTACAAGAACCGCCATTTTGTTTGTGAAGTGCCAGGCGAGGGGAAAAAAAAGGCAGACACTGTGCTTGATGCCAATAATGGTTGCCAGTGGCACCGAGGTTGGCATCAGACCCTCTTTGTCTAGTTGCTGAATGCCTTTGATTCGTTGGTTGGCATCCGCATTGCAGTGGGCACACTGGAAAGTTTTTGACAATCTCTGAATGAAAGCTGCTTGCTTGTTTGCTGCAGCAAACCTTAGCTAATATAAAACCCTTCCTTTTTAAAAAAAGATATATATTTTTAAAAGACTGTGACAGCTTAAAGGAAAAATTAGTTCTAAAGTGGCCTCCATTTTTCCCAAAGATATTAAAGATAGCCAATGATTCTTGGGCAGGTGGTACCTATTCCCCATATTGTCTTTGTTATTGCATTCATGAAAGCAAAGCAAAACAAAACAAAACACAAACCAGGCAAGCCTTGCACAACACACCTTCCTGGGCCATAAATGTACTCTAGGATGCCGGGTGTGCTATGAGAAGGGTGTGGAGGACAAGCCGAATGTAGTGATAAGAAATGCATTCGTCATGACTGACTTGGTGCATTCAGGCACATCCCTGCTTATTTCTTATGCAATGTTTAGTTCCCTCAGTTTCCACACTTCCAAATTTTAGAGTAACACATTGAGAGAAGACCTTGCTTTTCTTTCTAGTTAGTAATGTGTAACAGTGTAAATGCTAAGGAAAAAAAAAAAAAAAAAAAACCTTAATGAGGAAATCTGTGTGTTAATGTCTGATATAAATCAGTCATTGCCGAATTCCTCAATTCTGCATCAAAATGTTGCCAAATTCTCAGAGCACAATTCTGCACACCAGGAAAAACAATCAAAAGGCTAAAATAATTTTGGTTGAAGTTTCCTAGATAGTTAGCATTAATATTGCTTTCCGGTTAACCACCATTATCTCCTTAATTAATAAGAAGGATTAGCAGTTCTACCCAAAGGGCCGCACAGAATGGAGTCTGGCCTTTGGGAGGCCTTGAGTCCCCAGGCCCGGCCCTGTGTGAAGGGGAAGAAAGGCCGGGTGTGTAAGGTCAGGGGGCTGCGATTTCTCTTAGGCAGAGGAGGGTTTTGAAGAAAGAGAGGTCCACACCTCTAAGAAAGGAGTTTAAAGATCTCAGGAGATAGTAACTGTTGTCATGAATTTAAGAGATTAGTTTAAACTGAGTTGGTCTCACTGATCTTTGGACTGTGCTTTGCACTCTTATTAAACATGTTTTGGAGAGCTAGGGAGTATCCAGAAACCCCTCCTGGCTGTCATGAGGAGTACCCTTTAGCCTTGTTGAACTCTTAAAACTGTGATCCATTCTTGAATGGCATCTTCATTGTGTTGTTAAATGTTATGATCAGGGAGGAACATTCTGAAGTTGTGAAAAATGTGCCTTGTTTACAGGGGAAGTTGTAATGATTATTATTGTTTTTGAAATAGAATCCTTCCTGGTTGTCATCTATCATTAGTGAGGAAGCAAACGCTAAGAATTATTTTCCTCTTTCTTCCTTTCCTCCTAAAAGTTACTTTTAGAAGCCTTTTGGGTAACAATTATTTCTTTATGGAAAGCTTAAGTAGATAATTGTCTGCAAGCTGACAGCACATTTTAACATTTTAATAAATTTCACTTCATTTGCAGGTATTTCCCATTATGGGGGAAACTAAGCTTTCATTATTTGCTCAAATGAGGCTGATCTCTAGGGTGATTTGGTGTGCTTGCATTATGAAATGGTCAGAGGGCATACGTTTGTATGGAGGAACAGTACTCTGAAGGCAT